GGGCAGAGCCGAGGAGCCCGAAGAGGAGGCGGCCGGGCGCCGTCGGAGCCGCGTCTGGGTCGCAGAGCGGGCGGATCTGAAAGGGCGGGGGAGCCGCGGGCGCACCCGGAGACCCCCGGGGCTCCGCGCGTTCGCTCGCAACCGCAGGCGGCGCTGCGCCGGCACCGAGCAAACCTGGAGGCCCCCGCCCCCCCAGCCCTCCCTTCGCCCGAAACACCGCGCCTGCTGATTGGCCCGCGCCGCACCGCGCCGAGCAACCTGCCCCCTCCCCCCGCGCGGGACCTGGGCCCCCGCCGCCTCCTGCGTCACCGCCGCCCCCGCCCGCCCGAGGACCCCTGCGCTCGCCGCGCTGCTGGGGGCTGACTGACGGGCCTTGAGCCTCCGATACGGTCCACCCTGGGGATCGGTAATGAAGGATGATGTACCTGGAGGGAAAAGGGTTATCTCGAGGAGGGGACTTCAGTGGGGTAATTTCTTCCCAAAATAGAGGCTTGGGGAACGAGTTGTTTTTCCGTCCTGGGTTAATGAAACCTCCCATCCCGCATTTCCTATAGAACATACTGTCAGGATGTGATAGGGATCTCTGTATATCCCTTATAATAGGACTTGCCGTCCCATCTGAAGGTGAGCACTGTGTAGTCCTGCTGTAGCTATATCCATTCAGGCAGGGCGGAAAAGACTTCTTTGCAGCCAGTAGGCCCTTGAGCACTGCGGCACCAACCAGCTTCAATAGGCAAAGGGTTTTAATCCACCTCGTAGGCCGTGGTCTACTCTTTGTTCAAAAGCTGCTTCCTTCTGATAGCTAAATTAGTCCGGATCCTTAGCTGTATCACATTTTTCCAACGTGTGTGTGCAGGTGTTCCTTTTTCAACTAATCACGTAGGAAGTGGCTGGATGCCCCCTACTGTCATTATTTGCTCGGTATTGCCAGGTGCAGTGGTATGGAACCATCACTTGACTGGGAGCAAATTGGGTACCTTCTTAGCAAGATGCATATGCCTTAGGTTGGCTCTGAAATAGCTATGCTATGTGGAGCCTGATACACCTGAGTTTATAATTCCACTAAGGCCATTTATTAACTGTGCAACTCCTAGCAAGCTACTACCCTCTGCAAGCCTCTTAGCCCTCAAATGGTGGATGTGATACCACCTTGCAAGGACATGGGATTAAACGGGATAACTGTGTAAAATGTTAAGCATGCTGTCTAACACCTAAGAGATACCCTTATATCCCATTAGACAGTTGACTGGATGGAATCGCCAAGTTCAAATTCATTTTTTAATATTTTTGCTTTGGGGAGTATTTACAAGTTACTCAACTTTTCTGGCTAATTTGTTATTTAATGTGAAAGGAACTGAGTATGTTGTAACATTTTTAGATGGGGAAGGGGAATCTGAAATACAAAGTGGAGCAACATGTTAAATAAAAGATAAAACTCCCTTGGGGCCGGCCCCTTCGCTTAGCGGTGAAGTGCGCGCCCTCTGCTGCTGGCGGCCAGGGTTCAGATCCCAGGTGCGCACCAACGCACCGCTTGTCAGGCCATCCTGTGGGGGTGTCCCACATAAAGTGGCAGAAGAGGTGCACGGATGTTAGCCCAGGGCCAGTCTTCCTCAGCAAAAAGAGGAGGATTGGCATGGATGTTGGCTCAGGGCTGATCTTCCTCACCAAAAAAAAAAAAAAAAAGATAAAACTCGTAAAAAAAAAAATACCTCTGCAAGTGCAGAAATCCATGAATGGTGAGGATGCAAAATGTAGTATTTTCCTCTGACCCTGCTGACTTTTCGTGTCTCTTTATTTGCAGCAGTTCAACTGCTTGTTTACAAAGCTAATACCACCATGCTGGCTCAGTGATGGATAATTCTTCTCAGGAAAGGTGGCTTTTAAAAGGAAAGTTTACTATAAAACTAAGAGGGAAGTATTAACATCTGAGAAATTGATGATTAATCATTTCAAGAAATCTGAAGTCGATGTATAGATGTGCTTGGCTGGCATAGCTGACTGCTGTTAGTATCTCTCCCAAGTTCGCCACAGTACCTGTTAAGACTGATTGCTAAGAGAGTAAATCTTAAAGGTCACATCACAAGAAAAAAAAATTTTGTAACTATATATGGTGATGTATGGTAACTAGATTTATTGTGATGATCATTTTGTACTGTGTACAAATATCAAATCATTATGTTGTACACCTGAAACTAATATAAGGTTATATAGGTCAATTATACCTCAATAAAAATATCAATTATAGAAAAAAATTTTTTCAAATGGAAAAGAGAAAAAAAAAGACTGGCTCTCCCCTGGAGTAAAGTGGGTATCAGAAACCAGCTCAGTCAGTGCACCTGTTAGCACTGTTTATCAACAGTCACATGCAGGGGCAGCCAAGCCTTTGGAGCCAGGCAGCCTGGGGTTGAGTCCCAGTCACTCTCTGGTCAAGTGACCTCAAAGGTTACTTAAGCTCCCTGTGCCTCCATTTCCTTATCAGCTAAAGAAGATCATCATAGTATCAGGGTTGTTTTGAGGATTAAATTAAATGAGTTAATGCCTCTAAAGAGCTTGGGAGAGCCTGATGCCTAGTAAGCACAATTTGGGTATTTGTTACATTTGTTTTAAAATATTTCTCCTTTGGATCACTCTCTGCCAACAGTAACAAGTGATGCTGGTCTCTTCCTGTTTAAAAACCAAATTTCCTACTGAGTCACCCATGAAGTCTCTGTCTCTAACAGTCTGAGGGATGCCTCAGGGTCTCAGGTCATTTGTAAAGCAGAGAGAGATGAAATACTCAGAGCCCAAGAAATGCTAACCAAACCTTTTCAAGCCCAGTTTATCAACTGATACTTCCTCAAGAGCCAGGTAAGGCCCGCAACAGAAGAATGACTTTGCAGAAACCTGGTAAGTTTAATTTTATGATATCAAAAAGACCTTAAATTTCTAATAGTAAAACATAACAATAGTAAGACACAAGTAAATTTTACTTAAGTGCTTTGTTCTACATTTATTACCACCAAGTATCCCTTTTATTATTTTCTCTCCACTAGAGACCCTATGCTCTTAAATATTTGAGTATCAAACTGAATAAGTTATAAGTAATGGTTTTCTATTTGTATTCATCAGAAATATGTTACAGAGATTGCAATTACAACAAAAAAGAAAAATGTACTTGTTTAGTGAGATGGATGACATTTTACTTGATCTGTGCTAAGTGAGGATAAAATCCATTAAGTGTTTTGAATTTGCTCACAACCGTGGTAAAATAAAATCAATAAATTTTTTCCTGTGAATTGGGAAAAGTAGGAATGAAATAAAATAGCACATAGAATCTTGTTTCTATGGTTGCTGAGGGTTCAGACCTCCATAGTACAATCACTGATTAAATATAGTAATTTTATATATTTTAATACATGGTCTCAGCATCTGAGAATCAGTTAAAGAAAATTGTTAGGTTGGTGAATTATGCTTAGTTGAATTTTTTTTACTTATATAATTGGAATGTAGATTGTATAAAAGTTAGACATTGGCATGATTCATAAAATGGAGTATATATTCCAAAATATTGTTGTGGTACAGAAACTTCTCTTAAATAAAACCCATTTTCCCACTGATTTCCATTATAAATATGGTCAGAGTTCTGCTGAGAAAAAAAATATTAGTCCCTATATCTTATTTAGGTTATATTAAAGAAATTGTAAAATGAGTAAGTCTTACATTTGAGAAAGTATGCTATTGAAGCATCCCCCAGGTTAAACGTAAGAGGCTGCCTCTCTGCCTGCTGGAAGCTTCTGCCGCCCAGGCCTTACGCAGCCTGCTGAGGGAAATCAAAGCCTCAGCACATGTGTAACCCAGATGCACAGGGCACCTCAGGCGTTGTGCACACCAGCTGGACAACTCAGCCCTAGAGAAGGTTCATAGACCTGACTGCTGAACAGACAACATCCACATTCCTAGAGCTGCCTTCAATTCTAAACAGTGGCTAGTCCTGGGTAACTTCAAGAGAGACCTTTCTTGTTGATACACATATCCATATTAAAAAGAAGAAAAAAACAACTCCTATTCCTTGTCACAGTTCAAAAGAAGCCACTTATTAGAGTCAAAATAGCCTACCCTCAGTCATTTAATTTTTTAAGAAGTCATTTCCTGAACATGATTCCATTTTGATGATGTACTAGTACCTAGGACAAAAGCAAGGCAATAAATAATTATTGAATGAATGTAGGAACACACTCTTAACCTTTTACATAATTATGTCTATTCCTTTGGGCTTAGGGTAACAAGGAGTACAAGTTAGTTCACCTTAACTCACCCAGAGCATTTTATCAAAAGAGCCATCTTCAGGGGGCCAGCCCTGTGGCCTGGTGGTTAGGTTCGGCACACATCACTTTGGTGGGCTGGGTTTGCAGATTCGGATCCTGGGCATGGACCTACACCACTCATCAGCCATGCTGTGGCGGCATTCCACATACAAAGTAGAGGAAGATTGGCACAGATGTTAGCTCAGGGTAAATCTTCCTCAAGCAAAAAG